AATCTCCTCTTTGTTATTAAAAGGCACTTATCCATTCTTGGCGGTCGACATTCAAGCAATGTCGACCGTTAATGTTGCTTGGTGTACTTTTCAAAATGGCCTATTGTGCCGCGTGTATGTTTATACGGCGGGAAGTTAGCCAGCCTCGATGGGGCGTCTGATGTCTTCGCTGCAAATGAGAAATTTAGTCCAGAGCATGCCACCGCTTGCCTGGGGGTTGTCTTTCACGTGCACCACGCAGTAGTAATACACGACCTGACCGCAAGCCGGTACAACGTTCATCTAAATTGAAACAGCTGGCAGCGGTGGCCATTGAGCCCTTGGCCCTGCAGTGCGAGCTTTCGCTCCACGCGTTCCGTGCTAAAACACGCTTGGCCACAGATCCCCCTCAATGTTTAGCGTCAATAGGGAGTTTTCGTAGATCGTTTTCGCCGTCCCGCGCAACGCTGTCGGCAACCCGCTACAAAGCCCGGATTTCTTCAGTCAAGGCTAGCGGTCTCTTCGTTGCGAATAGCTTAGAGGAGGGAAGAAAGCGGTCCACGAAAACTAGATCTTACAAACAACGAAAAAAAAAAAAAAGAGCGCTAAAAGGGACACGGACAGCCACTGCACTGTGTCTCTCTGTTTTTTCCACTTGTCCCTGTGATTATTTTGTTGCGATACGTACCTCTAACCCTAACATGTGTATCGCTACAGCTCTCACGTACACACTCGCAGTAAAGTGCCATAATTTATGAGCGATTCAATCGCTCCGCTGTCCGTTTGTCCTAAGCGTCTCGCAGAGAGCCCAATCTGGTGCTGAATCTCAGGTCCGGCATATAAGCCGAACCCCCGTTCGCCCTCCCATCCCATCCACTCAACGCTGCATTTCTAGGCCAACCGTCAAAGCGGACGATCCGTTTTGTTGTTGTTGTTTTTTTTTCCTCCCCACAATGGCTCCATTTTCCCGACGGGCAAGGCGAAATCAGAGGGCCGCCATCCCGTGACCATAGCCCATGACGTCCGTCGGATCCATTTGCCCACAGAGTGTCCATCACCGTCTCGGTCGGTTCTCCCGCACGCCGGCTGCGATGTGGATGACCGCAAGCGGCGGCCTGATCTCACCTCCCCTCTCCCCCCTCGTCTGGCCTCCAGAAGGATATCTTGTTTCCGGGCTGCCGTCGACACCTGTCTCCTTTCCCGCAAGGGCCTGTCTCTTGCCGACCGCCGCTCGTGTGGGAGGGACGCTTTGCGGTCAATCGGGTTGTCATCGCGCCTTCGTCTTCGTGCTGCGTGTCGTCGTCGACTCGTCGGCCGTGGCGTGTTTGGTAAACACCTTGTATAAAAAAAAAAAAAAAAAAAAAAAAAAAAAAGAGACGTTCTATACTGCGTCACTACCGATGGCCAGCGTAGGACACAAACAGGACACTAGTACTGCGCCGAGGCGCATTGTTCTGCCAAACAATTAATTTCACTTTATCGTGCGCAAACTAATAGTTGAGACGTCGCTACACCGTAGAACCTTTGCGGTGGGCGTGGGCAAGTTTTTAAAACCTCCTTCCAATGACCTACTAATTTGATTTTAGTATGGGATACTGACAGACAGAGACAGTCCTTGGAGGTTTCGCGCTTCCTCCTTGTTTGCGGTCCATTCGGGCAGGTGAGCTGCATCCCTTGAATGCGCTTGCCAGCGTGCACTTGTGCACCGCGGAAACACATTTAGACTACTTATGGTACTTGTGGAGTAGGCTACTTGTGGTACTTGTGGAGTAGGCTACTTGTGGTTACACATATTATTCTGCGTGTATCATACACGCACAATATAGCCACAATCATATACACTGTATATGTGTATGTCCTCTGCTGCTGTATGGGGGGGGGGGGGGGGGGCTGACACTGAGTTGTTTTTTCTTTGCTTCCCTTTCCCCCAAGTGGAGAGGGCAATCGAGCAGCGTCAAAAAAGCGGAAGTCACTTGGCCTCTTTCGTTTATGATTGGATCAGCGATGATGGTGCGCTTTTGACACCGTCTGATTGGTCCCCTCTGCTCGTAGCGTCGGCCGCGCCTGGACTCAAAAAAAGAAAAAAAAAAAACACTGACAAGTCAAAATCATATTTTTTTTTATTATTATTATCCGAAACGATTGAAAACGATGCCTGGACACTACCCCATCAAAATTCGAAACTTGGGAACTCAGTATTTGTGAAGTAAAAAGAAGAAGAAAAAAAAACGATTTCAAGCCGAATTTGAAGTTCCCGCGCGATCCGCGCCAGTGACGTCAAAGATTGAGTCGTCCTGCAACTCGAGTATCTCTCACGCCTCCGTCCCGACCCGAAGTGTCGCGTTCGTCCGCGTCGGGGTTGCCAGGTTTGACGGCTTTGGGCCGAACTGGCTACCTCTTGAGGTCCATGGCTGCTGAAAATTGAAATTTTCTAGTTGGCTACTTTTTTTTAGCTACTTTTTAATGCTGAAACCGAGCCTGAATTTCTGACGCCATGACACTTTTGCACGAACGTTTTGAGCGTTTTTAAGAATCTAAGTAGTAGTTGGCGGGCAGTTTGAGAACCGCGGGTCGCGCGCTTTGTTCGGCCCTGTGCAGAAAAGCGGAACCGTGTTAAAGCTTCGGCCGCTTGAGCCAGTCTCATAAAGCATCCGGAAACAAGAAAGCGCCGTAATAGAGTAACACCTAGCGATCAACAGCGGGAAAATGATGTTGTCGAGCCTGCTACTCAACTAAAACAAAATACAAAAAAAAAAAAAAAAAAAAAAAACTTTGCTTTGAAGATTGCTTTATTCACCGCCTGCCACCTGTCCATAAAGTGCCTGCGTGAACTTTCGGAGCTACTGAACTTCATTTTTACTCATATATTTGATGTACGACTTGTTCCAATATGGTACTACTTTTTTATTGTTTTTACTGCAGCGAGAAAATCGGAAGCAATGTTGCTCTCTTTTTTTGCCTATACCAAACATAATACCCAACGTTTTTGCGTGGTTTGTGCTTGTTGCCTACTGTTTGGTTACTAAAAAAAAAACTCGGCTAAAGTTTGCTACTTTTCTGGCTACTTTTGGCAATTTGTTTGCTTGTTTGTTTTTGTTTTTGTTTTTCCCCTTGAAGATTTGGCAAGTTTGTCCCGCGTCTGGCTGGTCAACCGCCCTCCTTGATGCGTGCCGCCTATCGTTGTGAGCAGACGGCGCTTCACTTTCGAGTTTCAAGTTCTTTTAGGGCCTTGTCAGGGATCTCAACATTTTTGAAACGGTGGGAGCTCGAAGAGAACGCGCGTACAGCGCCAAGTTTTAAATGAGGCTGTCATTCCGCCGTTAAAGGGATGCTGAACCGAAATTCGGAGCTCACAAAACAGGGCACAAGGCGATGGGCGGGACGCTGCAAAACCCCCCAAAACATCCCTCGTACAGTGATATCTTTAGCGGGTATGGCCGTATTTTTGGAAAAAGAGGTGCACGACTGAACAAGGCCGACGAGAGTAGTCACGTCACGATTCTCATTCCCCCTAGTCTTCGCTTCGTCCCCCTTAGAGCTGGTGAACCGAAGCGAGGGTGAGAGCAGCGAGGCCGCTTCCCCTCATTCTCAACTTTTCCAGGCGGATCGTGACGTCATAGTCCTCGCTCGAACGCGCCCTTCTTTTCCAAAAATACGACCATCCGTTTGAGATATCGATGTATGAGTGATGTTTTGGAGTTCGTAGCGTCCCGTTCAGCGCTTTCTGCGGCATGGTTTTGCGAGATCCAAATTTCGGTTCAACATATCCATTTAATGACGTAGCAACAAAAATGGTGAAAACATCTAGCTTTGCGCCTCTTTTCTTAATTATTATGCCTGATGGTCAATAAAACCGATTAATCGAATAGTTAATCGATTAATGGGTAACGATTAATCGCGCTAAAATGTTTAATCCACCAACAGACCTAGTTTTTAACGAGGCACTTTCTATCGGAATTTAGTGAATTTGTGCCCAGTATGGTGTACCGGGAAGTTGTGACGTCACGGCACGTTGTGTCATTACATAGCACCATGACGTACCGTGACATTATGACGTGACATGATACCGGCACGTCACGTGGTTGCGTCACGCGACATCGCTGCGTCACGCGACACTGTCATAATTTTCCCGTTGAATTGAGCGCGGAAACTGATGTTGCCGTGACGTCACATCGCGTAACCCCGGGTCACGCGACGTCAATGTCTCGGCTAAAGGTAGCGGGAAAACAGACTTCCCCTGACGTCATCGTTTCACTCGACGCTACACGACTCGAAACTGTGACGTAAATTTGACGTCACGTATTGAGACCAACGCGAGCGATGGAAGCACGGCCGACAGTTCCCCTAAAAAGCTGTCGCGTTTACAGGGACACTGACAGGGTCTTTATGCTCGCCAATGTTTTTATTTGTACATGACATATGAGAGCCCAACTACCCAGAACACAATTTGCGGCTCGATATTCGGTTTCTTTCCACCCGAAAACCGCGGATCGAGAACTGGCCGGTTCGATCGTCGCGCTCGCTCTCTTCTCCGCGGTCACGTGCCGTTTTCTATGGTTGAGACACAACCACCAAAGATTATCAAAGTCGCGGGTCATCCAAGGCACACACTCAATACTAAAAATAGACAAAAAATATTATGCCATTTTTGTTTTGTGGCTTCTAAAGGCGCCGCAAACACGTTGATTAAAAAAAAAAAAAAAAAAAGTGCACAGCCACGTGATTTACGGTATATTTCTCGATATACTTCTTCCCCAGTCGAGTTTCGGTTTCGGTTTCGAGCACTTGCGTATTTTGACTTTCTTAAAAATACACGTGACGCTGTAGTAAAATATTGATTGGGCAGTCTTCTAACACCGTAATAGATCGCCTAACAAAACAAAAATATAAAAAATAATCCTTTTGGGGGGTGTCACTGTACCTTTAAAGGGAAGTTACCAACGGGGTGTGTGTTCATGGCACGTCTGCCAACGGTGTTTTGTCGTCGCCCTGTCCGACCGAATCGTTCTCCGTGTGTGCAGGGGCGACCCGGACCGCTGCGACCACTTCGGCACGACGGCGCTGCACTGCGCGTCGGCCAACGGCCACATCAACTGCGTCTCGTTCCTGGTCTCGTTCGGCGTGAACCTGTGGGCGCTCGACAACGACTTCCACACGGCGTCCGACGTCGCCTCCCTCAACCAGCGGGACGAGGTACGTGCCTCCTCTTTGCAACTTGCGATATCTTTCCCCCCAAAAAAAGCAGCGCCTGTTTGGAGCGCGGACCAACTAACCGTTTAGAAACGAAGCCCCGCTTTCGCCAACACCGTGTGGGTGTGAGCGCCGCGCTTGCGCAGAAACCAAATTCGGGAGGAGCGACGCATTTGCGCATGCGCGGTGCCTACAGCAGCGCAACCGAAAGCCACTAAACAGCGCGATCCAAACCAACGCGTTTTTGTGCGCGCCAAAGTCGTGCGCTTCCCGGAAATTGCGTATTTAGTGACGTTTTTTTCTGTTTCCGGTGCGCTCTCTGAGTCGCAAGCGTGCGCGTTGGTTACGACGGTGCGCTTTGGGGCAAGCGGAGAGCATATGCGCCCGACGGCGAAGAAACGCGGAACCGGAACTGGTGCCCTCCGCCGATTGGCCGGGAGAGAATATGGGAAAGGAGAGCCCTACTACTGCACATCGCGTTTTTGTGCGCGTCCAGAAGAAGTTGAAATCATCCAACTTCGCCCGGAAGGCGCAAGGAATCAGCGCGACGTCACGAAATACGCGATTTCCTAGGCGCGCACAAAAACGCGTTGGTTTGAATCGCGCCTACCCGACGGAGGAAATCAAGTAGCCCGAAAAGCGCATCGGCCGGACTTGGATGGATGGATGGATGTTAACGGCTATACCCTTTGCAACAGGCAGTAGCTTGCGCCACCTAGCCTATGTCTGAAAAGACAAACCTTGGAGTGAAATGAAGTATGGTTGCCTTCCGGTCGTGCTTTGGCTGCGCCTGCTCTGAATTGCTGTCCGAAGCATACAGGGATCAACGAAACGTAAGAGCGCGAGAGCAATTGCGTAGGCCGCGCTTGCGGAACACGTTTATTTTAGCATGAACGGTTACTCTACCGTAGAGTAGTCATATATGCCTCCACCGTTCGGTTCCTCTGCGTATTCGCTGAATGTGATGTTTATTCGCGAGGCCACGCGCTCCGGTCGTTCGTTTTGTTGCGGACCGTACGAGAAAGTTCGTGCCATGGAGGCGGACGTTCTGCTTGCGAACAATAAAACAAAACTTCACCGAAGGAAAAGAAAAAAAAAAAAAAAAACCATATTGAGCATCATATTCGATCCCTGTGAAAGGCAGCGTACATTGCGGCCTCTGTCCACACTCCTAGTGATTATGGCGTGGTAATTTATCGTGGGTAAAATGACGAGCGAGGCCGAACGATATGCCAGATTTTTGGTGTTCGTCTTTTTTTTCACCGATCCGTCGTGAGTCAGGGGGCAAATCTGTCGGTGTTTTTATTTTTCCCCCTGTAAATACCGAAAACCAGCGCGTGGTGAAAGATTAAGTGCTATAGTTATTATGGTGAGAAGCCACACAGCCAAACACGGCAAGGTCGGCTGCTACCCCCACGTGGCTTTCCACGTTGCATTGTGCAAGCCGTCGGTTGCTTTGGCTCCTGTGCCTGGCAGGGGGCTTCTCCCGGTGTGCACTGGCGCGCTGCTGAGAAGCTGCAGAGCGCCGAACATATTCCCCACCCCCCATTAATAGTTGCGGCCACACGCGCTAGGATTTTCTTTGTGAGAGTGACCCACTTTCCTGTTGTTGTTGAGGTTGAAACAATACATTTGGACCCATTTTATTTTCTTTATTATTATTATTTTTTAAATCGGCAACAGATTTGTAAAACGGAAAGCAAGAATGCTTGTCCATTAATTGTTCGTCAAACTTGCTGGCGCAACTTATTAGTGTCGATTGACAAAACGGAATCGGGAAATAAAAAGAGTTCTAGAGTAGAGAGAACCATGTTTTTCGACCCGGGTAAACAAATTATGAATCGCAGAAAACTCAAACTCCGTGAGGATGGGACGCTAGTGGTTGGGATATAAGACGCGAAAGTTTGAGAACTCGACGTTACCTGGATCAAAAGCTGAGTAAACGAAATTTCTGGATGAGCAGCCGACGCCCACCTAAGCCTAATGTCGTCGAATCAAGGACGCACGTTGTGGGCGCTTGTGGGATTTATTTAAAGGGGCACTGACACCCCAAAGGTCGTATTTATTTTTATTGTCTAAAACGATGCAAGTTGCAGCCATAGACACGCAAAAAAAAACCGCATCGCGAAAAAAAATTTTCCCGCGCGCACGCGCGCCTTTTTATTTTTGGCGTTTGATTTTCCCGCCTCTCGCCTCCTCGCTTCTTTTGATCGGTGACGTCAAAAATCAGGAAATTTAGAAGCTTTGTAGGCGGCATCTTTATAACATTTAATGACGGCAATCCTAAAACATGTTTTTTAACGCAATTGCGAACGCAGTACGGCCCTTCTTTTTGAAATACCAAAAATCGGGAGTTCGTTGTGGTGCCGTCTCCTGGATTTGTATCCTCCAACGGAAAACAGGCGACACCGCTCAAAACCGGTCCGCCGCAACGCCGGTGCTAGCCGGCGCTCGCTCCTTTCCTCCTCGCTTTGGGTCGCCATGGCAACAGCAGGGAGTGGTGACAGGAAAGGGGACTCTCAGGTCTCCGCAATTTTTGACGTCAAGGCACCGGCGCCGATCGCGCGGGAACTTCGAATTCGGCATTTGGAAATTGTTTTTTTACTTCACGAGTACTGAATTCCCAAATTTCAAATTTTGAGGGTAATGTCCCGGCATCGTTTTCGACCGTTTCGGATAATAAAAAAAAAATATGATTTTGATGTGTCAGTGCCCCTTTAAGTGAAAAACTGTTGTCGGCAAGAAAGGGAATATTGTTTTCTTTGGTGCTAACAAGATTACTTTTTTTTTTTCACCCAAAGAGATGCCACAGGCGCTTACAGTGTCATTTCTCGTTTTGTCGATATTAGGCTTAGGTGGGCGTCTGCTCATAGAGCAATTTTGTTTTTATCAATTATTCTTTGATCCAGGTGACGTCATGCTCTCAAACTTTCGCGTTCTATCCCAACCGCTAGCGTCACGTTTTCACGGAGTTTGAGCTTTCTACGGTGCATAGTTCATTTACCCAGGTCGAAAAACAGGCATCTCTTTTCTCGGGAACTCCCTGTAACGTCCGGACAGTTTGGAGCCATATTTTTCGGAGGTTCAGTCGAAGTCAGTACCATATGCGATCCATACCCAAGGAAAAATTAAGATATACGCAGCAAACTACCAGACACTCAATTATGCGCGACCATTAATGACTGTAAATTCTAATAATGCAGCTTTATTTCTGAACCGACAGCTGTATGTTGGTTCGAAGTATCCGACGTCGGCGAGCGCTCCAAGAAAGCAGACGCCAAAGTGTCAGATGCATTTTGGGACATCTGCGGCAATGTGTCTCGGCACGACCGACGCCGACGTATATGTCACGAGATTTTCCACTTGGGGATGTTGAATCATGTCACGACCACTAAACGCCGCTTGTGTAAATACTCTCGGACAATTTCATTAACACCGCGCTGTCGGACAAATGATACAAGAAAACGTCGTACATCGTTTTGTCGTATGCTACAAACTGCGAGAGCCACGGCAAAGTGATATTGGAGTCAGGCAGAAATTGTGATAGTCTCCTATTCCACGAGGACAGCTATATAGACAATCCGTGCTTCCTTTACAAGTCTTAAAAATACAGCGCGAAAAGACGGAGAACAAATGTAAGGAACACACACACACACACACACAAACACACACACACACACACACACACACACACACACTTCTCTCGCCATTTGTGTGTTGGTGAAACGCCCTTAAAATCCCAATCGTGGATTGGCGAACGGGTCAAAAACATTTTAGAGCGCAGCTCTTAGGGGCCCGTTTCCGGCTTGAGCGGCGTCGCCGTCGGCGTCGCCGTCGCCGTCGCCGTCGGCGTCGGCGTAACCGCGCGGTGCATCATGGGAAATGTCCCATAATGCACCGCGCGAGCCCCCCACCAAGGTCACGTGACCTCGTGGGGGGTCACGTGACCCCCCGAAGTCACGTGGCCCCCTCCTCGAGGTCACGTGACCCCCGCCGATGTCGCGTGACCCCCCGATGACGTCATCGTCACTGATGACGTCACCGGCATCCACATCGTCATCGTCATCATCACTGATGACGTCACCGGCATCCACATCGTCATCGTCATCATCACTGATGACGTCACCGGCATCCGCATCGTCATCATCACTGATGACGTCACCGGCATCCACATCGTCATCGTCATCATCACTGATGACGTCACCGGCATCCACATCGTCATCGTCATCATCACTGATGACGTCACCGGCATCCACATCGTCATCGTCATCATCACTGATGACGTCACCGACATCCGCATTGTCATCGTCATCATCACTGATGACGTCATCAGTGACGTCACTGATGTCGTCACCGGCATCCGCATCGTCATCGTCATCATCACTGATGACGTCATCAGCGACGTGACTGATGACGTCACCGACATTCGCATCGTCATCGTCATCATCACTGGTGAAGTCATCAGTGACGTCACTAATGACGTCATCGGTACCCGCATCGTCATCGTCACTGATGACGTCATCAGTGACGTCAGTGATGACATCATCGGCATTGGGGGTCACGTGACCCCCAAGGTAACGTGACCCCCCCCTGGTTAGTTTAACCCCCCCCCAGTGCCCTTCCCTCCTCCTCCTCAAGAGCTGCGCTCTAAATCGGCGTTACAGGGAGTTGTAAGCGGCTTTCATTTTTTTTTTATTGGTCCATAACGCGCGCCCAGCAGAAAGTTCGCGCCCAATCAGCAGCCGAGAAAGCTCTCGCTTTCCGATATTGACCAAAAGCGAACCCCTCGTGAGACAAGTAATGTAACGACATTTCTGTGTCATCGTTGACTTTTTTTTTTTTCTAACATATTTTTTTCGCGTTATTTATCGAAACATTGAGGTTTCTAAGGCGGCCTTATATTGCATATAGTTCATATTTGAGCAGGAATAAGGTATCGCAATATTATTTCACTTTTCTTTATTTGAAGGCACTCAGCGGGATTCTGTTGACATGCACTTTGCATTCAATGCAGTTGAGTTGTAGATTTTCTCTCTGCGACGGAGACGTTGGATTTTTTTGGGGTCGACTAACGTCCCCACTGTCTAAGCATCCACACGAAAAGTCCCGTTTAAGAACGCGTTCTCCGACATGTTTGTTCGCAAAACCCGAAGACAATTTGTTTTTTCTTCTTTTTATTGTACTGGTGCCCCCGTCTGTAGGACAGGATTAAAAAATATGAACTTGTTCTTTGTGAGCTCGTGGAGGCTCACTATTCACGATAACGCGCCATAATATTCATCATCATCGTTATAATCAGCATCATCATCAGCATCGTCCCAGAGTTGTATGCCCGGTGACAGCTTCCCCGCTTTATCACTCAGGAACATTCGAGCGTTTGTGCGCAGCTCAACACGAGTTTGACTCATTCGGTGCTCGCACAACGAAAGAACCTGTTTGCGGTATGTGCTCAGCGTTGTGCCTAAATGTTGTCACTGTGACCAAAGCACGTTGACCTGCGCTGATGGGCAAAACTTCGAAGCCTGTCGAACGGACCGAGTCGCTCTTCCGCGTCAGCCGTTTCTCTGAGCGCACCGGTGCAAACCGGGAAAGCTTGGCGCTCGCTCGCGCGCGCCGGTGCAAGGCGGGAAAGCTTGACTCAAGAAATCGTGGATATCTGATCTAGAATTCTGGAAGCATTATCTATACATAACGAATATATATTTCAAAACAAAATAGGATACTTTGAACAATAAAAGGGGGCTGTGAATTGAAAGTTATCATTACTCGCGAATTGTGTAAAAAAAAAGAGTGAATATTTTCGCGCCACTAATTTTAGAACATGAGGGCTATTTAAATGTCTCGCAAAGTAGGTCTCCGTGTTTTTCTATTTTTCGGGATCAAACCTCAAAAACTACTAACCGCCGAATCATTTCTATCAAAATTTGGAGAACTGAAAATTTCCAAATTACAGAAATAAGAATGCATTTTACGGAAATAAATTATTGTTTACAGCTTTATTCTGTGTTGACCACGTCCTTCGCTGAACTGTCCGTCAGGCTGCTTCTTTCTTGGGAACATCAACTCATCTCGTTCCTATCGGTACCCACTGGGTGCGTTTTCCAAATAGGACGAGTTCCTGAGAAAAGAGAACCGTGTTTTTGGGCCCGTGTAAATAAACTATACGCATCGTGGAAAGCTCAAACTCTGTGAGAATGTGACGATAGCGGTCGGGTTAGAACGCGAAAGTTTGAGTACACGACGTTACCTGGATCTAGAGGAAATGGAGAAAAACGAAATTTCTCCATGAACCGACGTTCACCTAAGCCTAATGTCGTCAAAACAAGAAATGGCATTGTGGGCCCCTGTCGCATCTAATTCAGTGAAACAAACTTGTCAGCCATAGAAAGAAAACGATATTCTCTTCCTTGATAACAATTGTGTTTTTCACAGACATAAATCCCACAGGCGTTCACAATATAATGTCTTGTTCTGGCGAGATTAGGCTTAGGTGAACGCCGGCTTTTAGAGAAGTTTCGTTTTTCTCAGTTATCTTTTGATACAGGTAACGTCTTGTTCTCAAACTTTCGCGTTCTATCCCAACCGCTAGTGTCACATTCTCGCAAAGTTCGAGGTTTCTACGAAACTCCCGCGCATGTTTTCTGGAGGGTGAGGCATCCTGCGGCTTTGTATACTGTTGCCTTCTACACAAGCCCCGATAAACGCCGATTTTTCGTCTAATGCTGTATGAGGGGGAGAGGGGAGAGGAGGCCCCAGCAAAATAGAAGATTTCGGGGGCGGGTAAACCGGGCCCCATGCCCCCCCCCCCCCCCCCCCCCTTCCTGGATACGTGCCTGCCGTCGATCTGATATTGGATGAGAGGTGGAAGCTCGTTGACCGTCTGCTTCGCTGCGTCCAGGTGCTGCGGTTCCTGGACCAGGCCATCTCCAAGCAGAGTGCGCTCAACAAGAAGCTGGTGCAGCGCATGAAGGAGAAGGCGCTGCGGGAGGCGGACAAGCGCCGCAAGGGCTACCAGAAGCTGACGCGCAAGGCGGCCAAGAAGGCCGAGCGAGACGACAAGATGCTCGAGAAGCAGCGCAAACGCATGGCACAGGTGACCACCCTCATGGTCAATATAGTCTTGTGACTGCTCATGCGCGACGCTTATATAGAGACAAACGTGCTGTTTACAAGCAAGACCGCCTTTTCCCACACCAGGCGGGGGGTGTATACTGTGCATATACATAAAAACCAGCCTCGTCTGAGCATGCGCGCCGCGCTGACAGCGTCGTGACTTCAGAGCTGCATATTGCTGTATATATAGTACTGTCGAGATCGGTTATAACGAAGTCGGTTATAACGAAATAGCGGCTACAGCGAAGCGATCACGATTTCCCATTCGCTTTTGTACTTCGGTAAAACCGAAGCCGGTTATAACGGAATAGCGGATATAGCGAAGTGATTTCCGATTCCCGTTGACATCGTTATAACCGGTCCTAATGCAGCTTGAATTTTTCTAATGGGGAAGTGCACAAAGGAAAATGGTAATAACAGAGAGGGTGAGTGAGTGAGAAACACATTTATTTTTATCGAGGGATCACCTTGCTTTGGCCGAGTTATCCTTAGGCAAGATGGGTAAGGTACCCTCAACCTTACCTACTTACCTACACGAACGAAAGTGATAACGAAAAAAAAAAGAGATAAAAATTTTATTTTCGAGAGATTTGGTAATGGAGTTGCCCAGACATTGCCGGGGCAGAGTTGGTGGTCTTATGGACGTCTATGGGATGTTATGATGTCCTACGGAGGGCCATCGTGACCTGGCGTTTGTGTTATGAGATGCATACATGACTATAGCTCGAGTTTTTCGAACAAGGAAGTACACGAAGGGAAGTAGTAACCCGGTAGTCCTACTCCTATAAATATCGATTAGACATTCGTGGGATGTTATTGATGGCCTCTTGAAATCCGCAGCACAGTATGTGCTTTCAGGGATATGTTACAACTTGATTGTGACTACAACGGATGTGGTTAGAAGTCGTTTTCACTGTATAGTTATAGCCAAATATAAAGAAAAATATAATTAAAACTGATAAAAGTACCGGGAACAATTTATGCCTCCCACTATTGTTAAACAATTTTTTTTTTTTTTTTTTGAAAACGCTGTGCGGAGGGCGGTTATTTTTGTTTATTCTTTCCGACATCTCAAGGGCTGCCGCTGGAACTACCACTACTGTGTATCTGCCTTGACGATGTTAAAGGAAAGCTGAAACACTTTAAAAAAATGAGATAGAGGTTGATTCTAGCGTGGTTTTATCTTCTGAATCTGAATATCACATTCATTTTCCCCGAAGATGTAACTAAACGGGAGAAAAACGCGAAAAACCTTCGACCACTCGTTACGTCATAAGAGGATCATTCGGCCGCCAAGCGCATGTCGCTTGTGTGGACAGCGCGTGCACTTGCAAGTTTACCAGGTATATTCCTCCGCACTGGTACCAGTCATGAAGTCTTTTTCCGACCTTTCTGAAAATAGCAAGAGTGCGCGTGCATAGCTTTGGTAGGTACTGAATATGCGTGAGAGCGGAGATCCAAAACCTCCTTTTATGACATCACGCTCCGGGAACGATTAGGGCTTCAGCGGTACTTTGAAAATTATTTTCTGCAGCCTTCATGCATCAAATTGAAAAATAATCTTGATATTCAAGATCCTGGAGGCCAAATGAAGACTATTTACGTGTGTTTCCTCAAATACGAAACGGGTTCAGTTTCCTTTTAACAGATTTTTCATTTCCTGCTGCCTTGCCCAGGTGGAACTCTTGGTGGAAGCCAACAGTGGTACGGTGAGCAGTGGGGTGATCCCACTTCACGGGGACAACCACAGGCTCGGGGGACTGCCGAGAGCCACCAAGTTCTCGGATATGGTCAACTCCGGGCACTCGACCACAGTGTCCAGTCGGAAGGGCCTGGGGGCCGTCTCCAAGAAGGTCCACCTCAAGAAGCAGACGACCGACCCAGGAGACTTCAAGGTAAGGTCGCTAACCTTTTCTGGGTTGTCTGCATCACACAAGTTATGTCTCAAAGAGGCTTACCTGAGGAGTTGCATTTTTGTCTTATCTCATTCCAGGTGCGAGGCATAGAGAGCAACGGCAAGAAGTCGGTCCGCTCCTTATCTGGACTTCGTCGTGACACCGAGGTCCTCTTTGTGCCCAAGGGGTGCGCGGAAGAACCAACTTCCCAGCGACCGGCCCTCCAGGACTTCCTGGACGCCTCCAATGAACTCTCACGTGCCATTAGCGAACCGGAACTGGGCCCCGGATTCGGACACACGGACTCGGGACTCGGAGACGACGAACCAGCCGGCAGCATGTTTGAGCGGCCGGGTTTCGGGAGCGTCGCCTTTCGTAACTCCATCTCGGGAACCCTGCTGTCTCTCCCGTCGTGCCGGATGGATGATGAAGAGTGCCTGGTTCTGCCCTGCGGAAGCGTCGTCGACTCTATCGGATCGGCAGGAAGCCTTGCGCAGAGGCAGCGGAGCATGCCCTGGGAAGAGGATCCGGACGAATACGACGAGGACGAAGATCCTGACCGGACGCCGGCAGCCGTGGTGTTCTTGGCGGCGCATGGCCTGGCAGAATACGTCCCGCTTTTTTCGCAAGAAAAGGTGGATCTCGATGCCTTAATGCTTCTGGGCGAGGAAGACCTGAAGGCCATGGGTGTTCCACTGGGTCCACGCAAGAAACTGCTGAGGGCCGTCGAGCAGCGAAGATCGGCTTTTGCAGACCCTGGAGAAGTTGCTGATTCGAGGCTGTGACTTTGTGGATGTGTCTGGAGCTCAGGACAAGGGTCTTTCGTGTCCTCTGCTCTCTTCAGCTGCGTCATTGTCGCTGGGCCTTACTACATTAGGGACCAAACCTGCGAGTCTTCTGTGCCTTGTCACTTGGCAGCATTTCAAGTCAAGATCTTATTGACAGTACCGAGTGTTTGAGCCTGTCCAATGACTATCGTGTCCTCGAGGACATTAAACTGTGGTTGCGACACTGAACCTTTTTCAGGAGTGCCGTGACGGCAGCATCGATGGTTAGTGTGGACAATACTGCTTGCTGCTGACGCCTGTATGTCGAATGTGTGAACGATTCATTGGATGAACAGTTATGCCAAATGGCTGTTTGTTGATTTTTTAGCGAGTCGCAGACAGCTGATGGACTGGAACGTTTCCGGCGAGCAATGTTATTGTGCGTTTGGGTGTTGTGGGAACTGTCTTCATATTCCGAAGGATGAAACCTTTCTTTTATAGCAGCGCTCTTTAGTCTGCTCTCTGCACAGCTCTGAAACCTAGTGCACAAAGAGAAGATGCTGGCCAGTCAAGCCCATCAATAATGTCCGTTGCATACGGTGCGGAGGCATAAAATTTCCATCAACACCAGTTGTAATATTAAATTAGAGGGTCTACTACCTTTAGCAGGGGGCTTTTCAAGGAATATGTTACTAAGTAGTTCTGTAAAACAATTTTGCCCTAATAGTTGTGAAAGGAGCATTTATGGGAATGCACTGTTTAAAGGACACTGAAGTTGATTTCAGAGTAATGTTTGAAATTTAAATATAGGGTACACATGCTGAGGGAATGTCTGGCAGTCTACTAAGCCAACCTAATGCCATAGAGGTTCACAAATGATTGAAGCAGCCAAGAAATCCACCACCCTTGCCGCAGTGCCTTAAAAATAATGGTATTGTAACTAATATCATGGTAGGTTTCGTTGATAGCAACGAAATATTACTTTTTTTTTTCGGCAGTCAGGAGACGAGGTGGGGGAAAATCGCTTTTAGTTTTGTTAATAGAAAAATTTGTAAGAAAGTCTGAGAAGCATTGACCCGTGTCTGAAACCAATTTCAGTGTTCCTGGCATTAGTTTGCACACTATATTAAGAGTTAAAGAAAAGCTCCTACGAACTCTTTCCACTTTAGCAGAACGAACTCTGGAAAGGAGGTCGTCTCCTCTTCGGCTGTCTTCTAAATTGGAAAGAGGTGGGAGAAGCTTCCCCTGAACTCCATGTCACCGACTATAGGGATCTAGCTTCTTTAATATATGAAGATGGATGGATATGTTGGCACTTACTAGATCCAACTTTACCAACTGTTAGCGTTTGTGCCATCTAGCGGTAAAAAGAGATTTTCCCTCACTGTGCTATGTAACATTCTGTTGTCTGCTAAAACGGCATCATATGATGTTGAATTTCGCATTAATATTTTGTCTGAGTCGAGACTTTTATCTGTTTGCCTGCTTGTTGAAAGAAGATGTGTGCTGAGGATTCTGGCGATTTCATCTATATGTTCCTAGCGTCTGTTTTTCACTGGGTAACATGTTTTTGCTTTATACCTCGACACAGCAGCATACTCGTACAGTGCACATTCGTTGTTTTCCTACCAAAGATACATACTTACACGGACTTTATATGCACTATACTGCGGTATCTAATAGGACAGTGTAATCGCAAGGTTTTAAAAGTAATGTTAACTGAGAAACTTTTCGTGGGCTTTTGATGCCTGCTATCTGTCCAGCCCTACTAAATGTTTCCGATATTGCTTCCCGACAAATATGTTTCTGGAATTAAGCGTTTCGATATGACCCACCTGATACCGAACATTCCTTTTATTATGATATGAGCTCAGAGAATGGGGTGCCTGCAGTGTTGGAAGCTGCAACATTTTGTTTTTCAAAATAAAAGTTAATTGAGTTTTTTTTTTCACATATAAATTTTAAAATGCAGCTCTTTCTTTATAAAAACATAAATGGCAACAGACTTTCAGAATTCTCAAGTTGCGGGCAGAATTTCGGATGGAGGAATATGCAAAACCTCTTATTCAAAGTTGGTGCTCCCTGTATTGCAGCTATCCTCACGAGCTTTTTGACATCAGGTCAGTCACAGTGACTAGGTTAATTGGTGTCATGGGCACCATATCATCACTACACAAATACAGATAATCTTTCTACGGCAGAGATTTTTTTTTCCTATTCCTTTGTAAAAAGTAAATCCGTTCAAACGGAGCTAACACCCAGTTCGTCAAGTTTCCCTCGAAGCTTCTTCAGAAAATTCGTAGCAAAATCAAAACGCGAATGAGCTCTCACATATAAACATAAACCACAAAAATTGTGGAAAGTGATACGTATCCACACCGACTGAAAGTTGTGACAGAATGAGATTTCTGACCTCACTTTAGCGGATAGCGTAGCACACGTCTTCAATCCGAGCTTGTTTAAAACTCTTGGAGTGACAGATTGAGTTAGCGCCATAAAAAAGAGAAAAAAACCTCAGACTTGTGAACGTACAGCCGAAATTCTCATCCATTTCAGCTTATACGAAAACAGAACAAGCTAAAGATACACATCTTTTGACCTGATGGTAATCTGAGTGGCCTATTACGACAATTTCGTAATAGTACCTGCTATTTTGCCAAACCCGACGGCGGGCCAACGTTTGTGTGCAGTCATTTGGGTTGTGCCTGCACGCGCCCTTGTGTCGGCGGCGATATCCTTGTCCTTTACTTCTGTTCGAGTGGTTTTTCATTGTTTGATACACTAGAACGCTTCGTGACATGCTGGTTAACCAGTACAGGACCGTTGACCTATCCCAGAGTCGTTAAAAAAAAAAAAAAAGATACGCTTAGAACGTTGAAACCCCATTCGCCGATTATCTTGCGAGCGCCGCCATTTTGTTGCCTAGTGTAGAAGAGGTGGAATCTACCATCTTATGAATAGGGTCCATCATTTTCGGGTAAAACCCCGATATTTCCTAATAGTTGCGCCCCGAACCTGCGTCTTGAAAAGTCGCCCAATTTTCCCCCGAATTCGGAAGTTGAATTCCTCCATTTTCCAGATTGCTCTGCTCCGGAAACATTTTCTAGGAAACAAAGAGTAGGAGGAGCATGTCCGCTAGCTCCAGATTCCAGAGACGAACCTAGATTTTGTCGACGTCAGTGAACCTCAGTGACAAAGATCGAGCCCCCAAACGTCTCATTGTAAAGTTGCCGTTTTCCCCTTTTGTTTCAGCCAGCAGAAAAAAAAAAAAAAAAAAAAAGAGTGAAAAAAAAAAAAAATGAGAAGTTACTCTCAAACCTTCGTTTTGACAGAAACAGTCAGCTGATATTTGATCCCGTCGAACCGAAATGGATATCGTTGTGCGTTACAAGTTTACGCAAGCTGTGATGTTAAAACCGGACATGTTGAGACAGAGGTGTTGCTCATGCAGACGATTAGGTTAGCGACAGGGATTTATGAAAACTCGAAAACCCCAAGTGAGCTCTTATACCATGCTCCAGTTTGTGTACTTCATGACTTGATTGTGAACAAACAAAAGTCAATGCACTTAAACCGATGAATTCACTCTATTGTTAATTATGCATATTATATATAAATATATATATATATAAAACCTGAAAACGGAGGGCCTTAAATAAAAATAGCTAGCTCCACCTGGCGGAAAAAGGGGTTCGAGGATGAAACAACGCGCGGAGAAGGAGAGTAATGAAGTGTCTTAGAACGAACGGGGGCTAAAAGATAAGCCACGATAGGCACAAAAGAGACCGCAGCATAATGAAGCCAGCAGGATCTAAGTTCCTCGGTCGAGGCCCAGTGCCCGCGCCCCCCCACTTCAGCAAGTGCTCACATATTTTTATATCAGAACCCTCGAACACATGATTCGCTAAAATGGCATCCACAACTTTCTTGGACACCGACGCCTTGTGGATATCAAACTGCGACTGTACAACAACAAACATCGCGATGTTCCCCGTGAATATCACAAAATATCAATAAGCGGCAATTAAACTTTTGGACGCGTATAGTTTTTATTCCACGGCTCTACAGTTAATCATATAGGCAGCATTAACAAAAATTATCAATTTGTGCTTTTCTTGGTGAAAGATCGTAACGTTCCCGAGGTCTGTAATTTCCTGGGTATCATAAACGCAAATCACTTAGAATTTTGATGTATCCTTGAAAACGTTTTATCCCACGGAATGTCCCAGAAAGTTGGCCATGTGCGATTCATCCTCCGCCGCGGACCGTTTGAAGATTTCCGGAGGACGGAAGAGCGTTTACTGCAATTTCAGATAAGACGAAGTTCGGATAACTATATATCTGGCAACAATGATTTTAAGTAACAAGATTGCTGCAGTGTATGTTAGTTAGCGACTCTATACCTATCTTATAGTTTCTATCACTGCCAGAAAAAATAATTTTGTGTTCGTACACTTTGTTCATCACCAAAGTATCATATGTCTGGAAGTCTTGCTGACGTGGTCACATTTGTTTTGTTCTTTCTTGCTGCTTACTTTCTCTCCCTTTCTCTCTCCCCACCAGTTAACGAACTTGTAAATAAACGTGCACATGCACAAACAGCGTTTGAGAGTCTGTCCACTTGACGTGCCATCTTTGAGGCATGAATAGGAATGTCGCGAACCTGCCCAGGTTCGAGTTAGACCAAGTTCAAATTTTCGAACTTGCAACGTGACGTTCGACAAATTTTCAACTGAAGTTCGTCTTTTGTGCGCATGCGCGAAGATTGAAAACAGTTGACTCCTCTTGACGGAGGAAGAGTGCAATATTCTTTGGGTGTACTGGCACCGCTAGTTCACATTACTAACTAATGAAAACGTTAAAAACGCATATTTTCGCTTTTATATGGTGTAAACATTGGTAATCATTCTATAAGATATAAGGTGCACTACTTTCTGAATTATTTGTTTCCCGTAATTCGATATATTCGTGTAGAAGCCGGGCACCACTGTCCATTAGTCGAACTTCTGTTAGCTGACAAAGAGGACGTGTTTTCCAGAGCTCCTGCGAAGCTAAGTGATTTTTGCTATATTTAGTTTAGTTGCGTGTGTGTTTATGGGGCAGTAGAAATCAGTTTTTAAGTAGCGGTATGATAGCTAAATTAAAGTCGACTTTTTAGGTAGGGTCCCGAGACCGAACCACGTGCACGTTTGAAATTTTTGGTGGGCTAGTTGGTTGTGTGGGCAGAGGCGTACCCAGGCTTTCTTGGTTTGAGAATGGAAGAATGGGCAGAGAGAATTGAACAGCAGTAGAGGCTTTAATACACGATGTTTCGGGAAGAAACTTCCCTTCTTCAAGTGTGCAGAAAATACAGTTGGAAGAATGGGCAGAAAGAAAGCAGATTCTGGGGGAGCTTCAAAATGGTTTCAGGAGGGATAGACGACTAGATGATAACTTATTCGTAATCACGCAGTGCATAGAGATAGGAATGACAAGTCAAAGGCTATTATGGGTAGCATTTTTGGACATCATAGGGGCATATGACGATGTGAATCAGGAAATACTCTGGGACCAACTGAAGAGATATGCGTTAGGGGGAACCAGGGTTAAGTTTCAAAAACGGGTTTGTACGGAGAATAGGGTGGTTATAACATGGGAAGCCGAAACTACAAGACCAGCAGCATTAAAAAAAAAAGACAGGGTTGCCCATTGTCTCCCCTGCTCTTTTTGATATACTTCAGTAAGATGGAAAAAAGATTAGGGCAGTGCAACCTAGGTTTTAAACTGACTTACATGGAGGAAGGACATAAAGTAAATCAAGTACTGCCAGGGTTAATGTATACAGACGACAATGTACTCATAGCAGAAAGTCGTGAGAAAATTCGGGAAGTGATTATGATTTGCAGCAGGGAAGGGGACAATTTGGGCTCAAACTTCAGTCGGGAGAAGTCGGGTATAATAGTTTTCAACGACAAGGACTCAGTGATATAACACGTAGAACGGTATATAAAAGAACATGAAGGTATTGTAATAAAGAAGAGGAAACGAGATTCAGCTATCATAAAACACAGGGCACTCTGGAACTACAATAGATATAAAGTCGTTAGGGGTGTGTGGAAGGGAGTCAGGGTGCCAGGACTGTCATTTGGGAATGCGGTATTGTGTATGAGGTCAAAAATCCAGGCAGGTTTAGAGAGACAGCATAGAGTGTAGATAGGTTGGCACTGGGGGCACATGGGACTACACCAAATGGGGGAGTACAGGGGGATATGGGTGGGGCATCTTTCGAGAGTAGAGAAGTGATCAGTAAAGTAAAATTTGAACAAGGGCTAGCTGAAATTGAGGATACACGGTGGGCAGGGAAAGTGTACAAGTATCTATATATGAAAAGTCTAAACACTAACTAGATAAATCGAACCCGCAAACTGAGATCAAAATACATTCAACGAGAGGGGGCCGGTACACATATCAGTAGAAAAGGGAGTAAAGGAAAACTCAGAGGAAATTGTGGGAAGAGAGAATGCAGGGGAACTCAGCTTTGACAATATAGAGGGCACGAAAAAAAGAAATAAAGAAGGAACAGTTGTGTGATAATTCATTGGGGAGCTCATTGCTGTTTGAAGCTAGAACGGCGGTGCTAAGAACGAAAACGTATATATTCCGGGAAATAGATACTCTATGTGACATATGCCAACGCGAAAGGGAAACTATAGGACATGTAATTTTAAGGTGCACGGGGCTTGGTCCCATCCCCTTGGGGGCGATGACTACGGATTTGGAGGGGATTCGCTGACATGGATGCACGAATGGATAGGGAAAGAATTGCGGTGACTAAGAGGAGTTTGGAAGATTGGTGGAAGAGATGTAGGGTGGGGTAAAAAATACAGATAAGAATAACCAATGGAGACACTTTAAAGGGGGGGGGGGGGGGTTGTGTCAAAACAAAATTTATACAGAATAAATAAGGAAGAGATGACGAAATGTTAGGCTAGGTGGCGCAAGCCGCCGCCCGTTACAAAGGGTATAGTCATCACCAGTCATCCATCCATCCTTCTTCAAACTTTAGCGAACGAGTCGAACCTTAAGAATCGACAAACGTTCGCGACACCCCTAGACATGACTATAAGTACACTCTTTTCAAAAGTTTGCGCCATCGCCTGTCCGCCATTGCTTGGTCAGGCACTTTGACTCTCTGAGTATGTATTGGGCACGAACGCTGCGTCGGCGTTCGGCAAGGACTCGGGTCCGATCACGAGCTTCGTGCCCAAGAAATGGCGACCATCAATCAGGGTTGCCAGGTTGGGCTATAAATAGTCAAACTGGGCTAGTTTCGTTTGCAGTTGACGGGAAAAAGTTGTAGTTGGCTATTTGGCTAGTATTGGGCTATTTCTGACCCGTGCTGGGCACACCAAAATTCTTCAAAGCACTTGGGTTTGTAGCGCAGATCAGTGGTTTATAGGTTCAAATATGGTATTTTTAGAGTAAGTTACGTAAACACTTGGTGCTTCAGTCTATTGACCCTAATAAGCATGCGACAGCAAGCAAATTCGTCTGCTCTTTGCCCACTTAGTGCAATTGTTTCCCCTGAATCTTGCCCGAAGGCAGGCGTGTGCTGTTATACCTCCATCTCAACCAGTGACTGCGCAATTCCTTGCGGCCCCAACAGCATCTGTTCTGCGCATTCTTTAGGTTGTCTGATGATTGGCGTGCTCCTATACTTTGTGTTTAATTCTGCATAGTTTTCCCGTAACGTCATTCTTGTCACCATGCCCCGATACTAAGCGCCCCATTAATACAGTGTGTAGGATTTTGCTAGCTACCAACTAACACAGGTACCGATAGAGTAACCAAAGGGTTGTCTCAACAGCGGCGATATCTCGAAGGAGACGTCAAGCCTAGTAGCACGGTTCCCACATCTCCGCGGCAATGTAGACGACGTTTAGGGCTACATTACCGCGGGTCGGTTCGATTAATTACCTCCGTCGGTGCCTATGATCGTCTACCTAGTCTCACTCTCTCGAATATAGCGGAAGAGAAGACACACGTACCAGAGTAAGGACAGAGTTTAAGAGCATTTATTAACATACTCCTATATGAACTACGATGTCCCCATCCAAAATGCCCCCCGCGCCGGCAAGGTAAGAAAAGGTCCTTACCTGGCCAGACGCGGGGTTCCGGAGAGCCAAGACCGGGGAAGCATCGGAGAAGTCGCCGACACACGTCCTGTCTCTTTCGCGGTCGCCCGGACGAGTCCCTTTCCCGAAAGCGGGAAAACAAGAGGCGAAACCTCCTCGCCTGTCGGCAGTGATTCGCATCCGAGTGGGGGGGCGGAAAGAGGTCCCCCCGGGAGAGAGTGAGAGGAGAGCCCCCCAAGCCAGGCGGCCCTCCGCCCCACGAACAGGTCGGAGCTCACGGCGAAGGAGGCCGAGTGTTCCGACCCGCGGCCGTTATCACAGCCATCGGGGAAGGGAGACCAGAGGAATCCCCACAAGTGGTAGGTATGTTGTCATGCGCCTGTAAAAGCGTTTCAAGAAGTTCGCCGAACGTGCAAGGGACGCCATTTCTGGGGAATTTCGGCACCGTTGCAGAGCACAGAACACGGTGTTCATTATTTATGTTCTGAAATCCTGAAGACTGGGAACAGAGAAAAACGAGGCGACACGTGTCCCGTTTTGTCCGTAGTGATGTTACTACGGTTGGTTCTGCGAACTAGTGATGATAGTGGTGTGAATGTTTCTATTTGATGTATAAAAATGTCTTTTGTGTCTTTTGTTTCAAACAAACGTTTTAAATGGTCAGTCTTTTTTTTGGGGGGGGGCTATTTTCGGGCTATTTTTGGGGTCGACATTTGCCTATTTTTCGGCTATATCTTATAGAAATTTGGTGGGTAAGAGTACAAACACCTGACAACCCTGCCATCAATGTTGCTCAGTGGACTTTCGGGAAGGGTCTATTCCCTCCACGAACGCCTTTTGCTCGTGTTGTTTTGACCCGATGACATCACAATGCAGTCATGCAGTCACGTGACATCACCGTGTCGCGTTTTGTCAGCCTCACCGGATGTCATAGTGTCACGTGACGTGACGTTCACAATTTTCCCACTAAATTGCGATAGCAAGTGCTACTCAGTATAAAGCCCATCGAGTGTTCTCGTAAAGCTGGGGCGACACTGCTCATACATGATACAAAAAGAAGAAAGGCGTAAAACACGAGTCACCTCAATATTCGTTGTTCGAATGCCGCGTGTCAAGTCTTCTCCCTGAGCTCATTGCCATGCGGCATTCGAAGCACGGACCTCGCGGTGACTCGCGTTCGAATCTGTATGCAGACTGTCTTTTGTATGATGTATAAGCAGTGTGATCCCGGCTTTAGAGTTCCGAGTTTTAGGATCAATCCGAGAAATACCCACCGGTAATATTTTCAATTCAGATTTATCCGATGAACTCCAAATTTCAATGCCCCAGTACAAAAGAAAAAAACACGGTATTTTACAATTTATTTTTGGGCAGCGCACAGGGTCAATGATTTTGATCAAATATGTGTTACCCCTGTTTTCTTTCATATGTAGGAACCGTTGACTAAGGGAATCAATCCTATTGTGAATTTCGTCAAGGTTCATTGAGGACAACAGGTCATTTTACTTTCGGGTCACTACAAAAGCCACTGTTCTGGTTTTCAGTTTGGACCATACTATTCGTGCTTCTTAGAGAAAGGAGGGGGGGGGGGGGGGGGGTGTTTCTGAACCACAGCATCTGCGTTGCTGTGGTTTTAGCCAAAGGGAGTTTGGCTGGTACATACGGTTACAGACAGCGCCGAGTTGGCTCCATTTGACAGTTAATGGCATTAAAAGAGCTAGGTAAAAGAAATAAGGTATAAGGTGCGTTGTTTCCAAGAAAGTCCAAGAATTACTTGCGACCACTCCACCAGCGAGAGGCCCCGGCGCGCACCTTGGCGACGTTCTATCAAATACTTTTGGTTCTATTTCGTGCACCTGCCGAGAGATCGCGAACCGTCCTCGGGAAGCGTTCTTTTTCTTGCTTCTTTCCGAGCTTGCTATACGTGGTTGCTCTCGTGCTTGCTTTTGGGCTAAGTTATTTTCTATGCTTGCGGCAGTTCAAATTGCGTATTGGTGGTCAGATATTGAAGAATGGAATGGCGAATTCCACTTAGCGTTTTGGAGCGCGCCGGGATCAGGGGAGAGGGAAGTGACGTCAACAACGCAGCAAATGCAGATTGGATGTTGATTTTGTTTTCTTCTGTCAACATCCAATCTGCATTTGCTCTAGTCGTTGACTTCACTTCCCTCTTCCAAGTCTCCTGGGAGTGCAAAAAGCGCAACATAGCACGCCAGTTGACCAGATCCGGACTGGAGCACACGATCCAAACGGGGTCGCGCCGCCGGCGCCTACGGCCCCATGGAACATGACCACTGCTCCGGGATCGGCGGATGCCTTCCCGTCATTCAACTGCCCGGGAATCCCCTTTCCGCAGCCGCCGAGGTCGTTTCGAAGAGGGTTTTGCAATCGCGGCGCTAACACGTGTTCGACCTACGAGCGGCAGGAATGGCTCAGGCACTTCTAGCAAAGATTGCCGGAATGCCCGTAGCGCGGCAAATAGCTTCTCTTCTCCTTCCTGGAAAACGAACCGGCTGTTGAGCCAAGGGGTAAGCAAGCGGCCATTGCGAATTCTTCTGATGTCGAGACAATCTAGGAGCCCAACCCGCGACCTGCTTCTTCTTCTTCTGAGGCGAGATGGGCGAGATCAGGCGAGATGCCCCACGAGAAAGGATGTCACGTGTGTGCGCCGAGGGCTGGCCCGGCTGGCTTCCGGTTGAATCCGCCGAAGTCGTGGGAGCGACTTTTCTCGGATCCAGATCGAGATCTGGAGCGGGAGCTAATCCAAAACGACCAGAAACACGTCGGTCTCGATCCCGATCACCCAGTGAAATAGGCTCGTCCCAGAAAATTCGATCCCGGCGCGCTCCAAAACGACCAATGGAATTCGCCATAAGACGGGCTCACAGAAGAAGACTCAGAATGGTCTACTGCTGCGTACCGTTGTGCAAGTCAGAACGGGACAAGGCAGTGGGAGTCAGCTTCCATAAATTTGAAGAATCCGGGACGAGTGGATAAATGCCGTCAGTCGCAAAAATAAATATTCAGTTTGAGTAGCGAACTAGTCAACACCTAAGGTATCTGACGTTTCGGTCCTATTTGATTTCAGGCGCTGCGGCGGAGCTCTGGTTCCAAAGCGACAACTCGGTTGTTTACGGTCTTCATTTCAAGGATGAAAACTATAGTTCAGGACTGAAGCAGAAACGACTAAAGGCACACGCGCGGTTCCCTCAACTTTCCCGGGGTATCCTACGTGTCTGCAGTCGACAAAGAAACCACTGCGACGTGTTCTAAAGCGTACATTGGATGAAAACCAGGACGCTGCGCAGAGAACAATAAAATAGTTGGTGCTAACGCCTGTTTTGGAACTCCTTTTTTTTATAAATGCTATCCATTTGCTAGAGTTTCTGTGTAGTAAGCATGCAGAGGTTTTGCAATTTCGCGCGGTTTTAATGAATTTTCAGTATGGATTGCCCTCTTGATATGACTTCTCTGCCGGTGCTGTTGACGAAGTGCAGCCACAAGAGAGTGAGTCATCACAAATTTTACGAAAGATTCAAGACAGTAACACACGGGGCTTCACAGTTCCACCCATGCCTATCAACATCCAGGAAGTAAGACACAGGCCTAGGGTTTCATGCCAGACAGTACTCACGTCACAAAAGCTTGTGTCCCTACAGAAGCGGCTGAAGACACTCAAGAGGAAGTGCATCAAGCTTCAAAGTGCAAAGAGTGTGCTGAAGGAAGAGAGAGAGGCATTGAGACAACGTCTAGCGAAAGCCGAACAAACTGTAAAGACTACAAACATTAAGCTTCTTTTGGTAAGTTGCACCCGTTGGTGCAACTTACCAAAAGTTGCACCTGTTGGTGCAACTTACACCATCATGGTGCACCCGGTTGGTGCACCATGATGTGCAGTATCGCAAGGGCATCAAAGGGATAGAATAAGTAATAAGTTTTGACGATATTTTCCAAATATTATAGGACAAGGCAGAGGAAGGAAGGCCAAAAGCGCTGTTCCCTCAAGAGCAGCTGCGGTGCCTGAAGTTGAAAAGAAACATCATTGGTCCTCAGCCTGCCTAGCCGGTCACCATTGAAACGGTATGTTGGACCATGAAATGGAGAAATGGTGTCATCATTGACGAAGCAAAGGCTGCACCAAGAGGCTAAACTTCATTCAGATCGGGTAAGAATATCTATAGGCTCCCTGAAGTGATTGCTAGCTTGAGCTACCTCTACAAACTCTTTTATATCCTGCAGGCACGGCATGGCTCTCTCGTCATGGACGAGATGTCCATTAAAGGGGCCCTGCAATCATATCTAAGCGTCTACCTTTTTTGCGGTTTCCACGTCTCTTGGGTTTCGGGCAAGCCAGCGGGCACGAGAGAGTAACTAAATATCAGTGCGTCATATTTTAAACGCACGACGCGGAAACCTCCTCCACCTACGGGGGCGACCCGCGGTGCCAAAAGCGCGCGATATGTGACGTCTTTGGTCCTGGGTTTGCTACTGGTGAGAGCCGCTAAAAGCTTCCTTTTAGTCGAAATACAAAATATAAGTGGCCGCGAACCGTTTCAATTATGTATAAAAATAGTTTTTGTTCAGTATTTTAGAACAGAAAAGAAACAAATGCACTTTAGAAAGTACGAAAACAAGAAATGACCCGTCGGCATACCCACCACCAAGCGGTGCAAAAGGCGGCACATACAAGAAATGTCTAGTGGGATCAGGCACCGACGAGCGGCGAGCGTAGAAAGGTCCTGGATGTACGCGGCGGCACTGCGGTCGTATGGAATTGAGGATCCGACCGGTTCCGAGCGTTCCGAAGGCCTTCGGCGAGCAGGTTTGGCTTGCAGTTTGGCCTTTTGGCGCTATGGCAGCGCGAAGTGGTTCCCGTTCTGAACTGATCTTTACCCCGTGTTTGCTATCGTTTGGGGCCAATGAAGTGTCATGCCGAAATAGTGTTTAATCGCGCAGGAAATTCAATGCGAGCCGCCCTTGCTGCACGCTTCATATACAGCCTATTTAGAGCATGCTTTAGCGGCGCCCTCTCGAGCCGTCGAGACGGACTGCGGCAGCCGTGAGCGCTCGCTGAGCTCACTACCCCTCCTCTAGTTCCCGGCCACTCAAGCGACCAATCACGTCAGGAAGGGAGTTATTTTTTGCTTGTTTTTGTAATTTTAATTCGCCTATAACTTTTAAAATAAACCGAAATTTAAGAAAATAAAAGTTTCAATAAGTCACTACGTTCAGTGCGCTCAGGTTGGGTGCAAATTAAGCACCAGTAAAAAAAGTCCTTGCAGGGCCCCTTTGAGCAGGGTGTGAAATACCGAAGGGAGGCAGACTTGGTTTACGGACTAGTACAAATGGGGGGACTGGAGATCCACTATGATACATCATACATCGAACTGCAAGTTCTCGACTTTTAGTAGAGGAAACATCACTCCTGTTGTGAGGTATGTTATAACACCTGAACACAAGTGATGTCAATTAAGTACTACGCTAAACTCTTGTTCGTGTTTGTATCATAAAAGCCATCCACTGGACAAGGAACGGAAGCTGTTTCTTGCGTGTGACCCATGTCACATCTTGAAGAACATTAGGCTGCAGTTCCCAGCGCCGAACAGGTTTCTGTGTAACAATGTGAGTACATCAATTCAAAGTATGTGAGGGGAATCTACTACCTCAAACATAAGCAGGGTGGAGTGGCACCTTCCTGGATATCATTAAAGTCGCATTGACCCTTCCTAAAAAAAGTTGGGGAAATATTATGGGCGACGGCCCTCTAAACTTTCTGTGAAAAACTGTACATCATGAGATACAGAGAAACATTTTTGCAGGCGCCTTCACTCTGGTGAGAGGACTGTGCCGAAGACATGTCTTCCCTTCCAACTTCAAAAAAATGAATGTGAAAAGGGCCCTGGGACGTTGTGTCCACTCAGGTACACCGAACATAATTATTTTGCAGTGTATCATTTTGAAATTGGGTCGTTATTTTTGTCACAGCGCTTATTCTTTTTTAGGTGACCTCAGTGCTGAGGTACAGAACACAGTTTGGCATCTCCGGATTGGAGGACTGTCTCCCTACCATCGAATTCATGGAGCTTGATTACAAGTGGTTTAGCTTTCAAAACATCCGCAGCAGTACCCTTCACATCTTCAGCAAGGACCCCATGAAGATGTTATTTTATGATTCTAATGACGAGAGGTGAATGCTGCTGCGTTCACCTCTCAGATATCAGTCGGTGGGTTGGTTTGGAAGGAGAATGCCCCTGCAAAGGCCACATTTCTCTCGGTGGAAACTTACGAGGCTGTGAGCATCACCACCGCTTCCAAGGTCGCTTGCACAGGGCACCTGCTAGACGTGGGATTCCACTTCGCCCTGACGTCACGATACTCCAGCGATGATGTAGAGGCTTTGTTCTCCACAGTGGGGCAACTGAACGGTCAAAATGATCATACAGATGCCCGTGCCGCCTTCTCTTCACTCCAGAAGATGTTTGTGACTGGGCTTCTGCATTCATTCAAAAGTGGAAACACTAGCCGTACAATTCGAACCCTAGGGGGCCTAAAAAAACTTGTGTCAACAGCCCCCCCCCCCTCTCCCCCCCCCCCCCCCCCCCCCCCCCCCACCCTGTATCAAGTCCTGTTGGCCTCGTTGACTTTTTGCTACCCTACACCCATGATCTGGAGATGCTCTCAGGTAACCATCTGCTTGCTGTTCTAATAATTAAAGCTTTTAAAAAAATACCATGTTTATTTATTTTTTTATTTTTTAGGGTTTCCGTAATGCAATCTTTTCTCTGTTTTGTCTGTTTCAGAGACACCTCAACCAGTACTGCAACCATCACACGCGGCCTTGTCGCCGGCTTCCTGGCCCGGGCCGTGCAGGACATTCCTTGCCTGGGCTGCCTTGACACCGTGAAGGCGCCAGCGTCATCCTCTCCCACAACGGCACTGATCGTCAACAGGGACCACGGTGGCCTGTCCTACCCGCGCCTGCCCTTCGTAAGATTTATCATAAACCTGGAGGCAGCTGCAAGCTGGCTTCAATCACCGCGCTCCCCAAAAGCAGGCAGTGCAGCAATTTCTGGGGGCTGTGCTCCCAGCTGTGTGTAGGAACACCCTGCTGCGATGAGAGCATGACTCTTCCGAAGATCACGGAAGGGCCCATGCTACCGTGGTAGTACGAAAATTTACCAGGCCCTTCTTGGTCAACCATACAAGGAATGTATCAGAAAGGAAGCAGAAGAAGAACCTCAAAGGCAAACCTGAACGAAGGAAAGTGCTCAAGGGGCAAGTGCCTGGGTGACAAAGTGAAAGGGACTTCAACGAAATGGCGAAGTGCAAGAAATAAAATTTCTTAAAAAGTATTACCTCGCAGCATCTCGTTTTATAAAAGGTATAAAAAAGCAAACAAGCTGTGTGAGACAGCTACTAGAAACGGGTAAAAAAAAATGAGGGGGGGGGGGGGGTCATATAACACCTTTATCTTCCAACCAAGTTCACATAAAGCCACGTTAAGAACTAACCTTGCTTCACGAAATTTATGCTAAAAATTCATCAACCCCTCAGTGCCATAAACCCTAGAGTTTTCAGGAAATTTCAAGCGAACCCTAATAGGTCTTTGACTACATTCCTTGCCCAGGCTGAACAAAAATGTACATTCATTTTGCATGTTGCCTCTTTTAGGGGTCCCCGACAGAAGCGCTCTCAGTTCAAGAAATTTTATCAAAAGAATGAGGCGAAAGTAAATTGTCCATCAACTGTTTGTGGCCGCGCGGAAAGCTCAGCCTAGCTCAGCCTTTGCCCTGCTCCCGAACGCTGAGCTATGGCGCCATCTAGTAGAATGTCGCGAAACTAACTAGGCGAACGCATGGCCTCCGAGATCCCGAAGCGCGCGAACGGCGCGAACGCTTCTCCGGCCGTTCCATTCGTGCAAAGAGGGCGTAAAAAAGAAGGAGGCGGCGTCTTACCACGGGGTGGCGCTCCCAATCCAGTCATCCACAGGCAGGGCGCGAGTCTGAGGAGTTCAAGAAAAATTCTTGTTACGTCAAGTTATTGCCACGTTTAATTTTGTGTATTGTGGTATAACGGTGAACAGCTGCTCTAGAGACGTAGATAGACAAGTTGTGATGCTTATTTAATTTATTTAATAGCCAGTTCAGGTGTCTGCAGCGTCGCATCAGTCCTTATTTTGCCAGCTGGCGTCCTCGCGTTCCTCCCGCTGCAGCCCCTCGCCTTTCGGAGCAGGCACAACTTCGACTTTTCCCATGATTGCTCGATGAGCTGCGTGTTGGCTTTCGTTACGGGGTCGATGAGGTGCTGCGAGTGGTGCACTGTCGAGCCCCATAGGCCCGTTGCCGTCTCACAGACTGTCCACGCACACGTAGCCCCGCCACTCATCGGTGAAAACAGTGGTCCCTGGGGCGACGTTCTGGAGTATGTGGTCGCCCAGGGTGCGCGCATCGCGTCGTTGAACATAAAACATCCTCAGTTCCTTGGTTCCCTCACAGATCATTCCTGGCACCGATGGCCCATCTATTCGGTTGCCATAATTATTGTGACGGCTCCCGGGCGTGCTGTTGCCGTCCAGCAGGCGTCCCTTGTTGGCCTTGCGCCGGCCCCGAAACAACGCCGATCTCTACCTGCATGCGACGCTGACGGCTCGCCCCTCTGTCATGGATGGATGGATGAATGGATATTGGCTGTTCCCTTTATATCGGGCGGTAGCTTGCGCCACCTAGCCTTAACTTATTAATTAAGAAATTTGTTCTTCCTTTTTTCTTCTATTCTTTTTTCCCTTTACCTCTCTGCAACTATCAACGGGCGGGTAGAGTACTTTCCAGAAAAACCTTAGGGGGATCGGGCAAAAAAAAAAAATTAAACACCGCCCCCCCGTTTCCTCCCCCGGGCGAGGGAGTCGCCAATTTTCCTCTGGTCAACCTCGTCGGTGTTCCTCCATAAACCACACCCACTGGGGGACAGGTGTGAGACTTTGGGCCGGAGCCACGCGGGAGGGAGTCCCAATATTCCTCTGTCCCTCCTGACCCCCAGCTGTGCTAATTGTTCGTCCTTGTTTCATTTTCCCTAGACTGTATCCACCAGTTTTCCAATCTCCTTTTTGTGATGGTAACCCTTTTTTCCTCCATCCTCCATCCTTGTCCGCAAAACCGAGCGCCCCCGCCGAATCCGCCGACCCCTCCAGGAGACCAGGACAAAGCCTCGTACATTCTAAAACAAGATGTTCCATCGTTTCGTTCTCATTTTGGCAAATGGCACATAATGTATCCATTTTCTCGATTTTAGCCCTATACGTTTTGGTTCTTAAAACCCCCGTTCCCTCAAACAGTAGGGAACTACCCCGTGAATTATCAAAAACCTGTTATTTTCTTATTTCCTGCTTATGTGACCTATAAATTGCTAAAGCTGATTTTCCTTGCATCGTACCACTCCACATTTTCCTTTCGGCTTCTTTTACGCCCTTTTTTATCGTTGTGTTCCGCTCAGTCTCCTCCCTGAGGGCACGGCGGGACCGAGATGGCTATAGACGCTTTACACACGCGCCAGATTACAGACGCCATTGCCGCCCTTCTATTGTCTTACCGAGATATCAAACTACTGAAGCGGGCTTTGGTGAGCCTCTACAAAGGCAAATGCTGGGGAAAAAGACACCGTCGTATCTAAAATGCCCGTAACCTCTCCTCCTGCGGTAATGGTGGAGCAGGGTGAAAAATATAAGCGAAAATAAAAACTGAAGGGCGGTTATGGCGGCGCCCATGCACAGCTGCTGTAAAGCGTCTATATCGCTAAACCCCTCTGTATTCTTCACTCAGGTTACGCTGTGCGCCCCTGCTCAGCACGTGTCATTCGCACTGAAGAATGATGTCAGCAGCCTGGATCTACCGGCAGTGAACTTCGACTGGCCATTTGCTGGGACGCACCACGTGACATCAACGACATTCGACTTCTTGAAGACAACGCCGCCTGCTGAAGCGTATAAAAACGACCGCATCAACGATTTCTTCAGAGGGCACGGCGGGACCGAGATGGCTATATCGCTAAACCCCTCTGTATTCTTCACTCAGGTTTGTGGCAAATATGCTTATACCTGCTTCCGTAGTGACTGTAGAGGCGTTGTTGTCCTGCCGTGCCCGGCGACATGCGCAAGTCTTTTTGTGGATGCGTGGAATGTCATTTTGATTCTTCTTGCTGGGGATGTTGAGCAAAATCCTGGACCTTATGCAGAGCTAAAATCAATGATGAACGCCATGCTTCTTTCCCAGAACGAACTGAAATCGAAAATTGAGAACTTAGCTGCTTCTCAGGACAAGCTTGAATCTACAGTTAACACTCGAATGAATGAAGTAATGGCAGCAATAAAAGAACATAAAGTAGAGATACAGGCATTACAGGCCGAAGCTACATCGTTCAAAAGTAATCTTCAATTGCATCAAAAACGCCTCGACGACTTGGAGGACGGAAGTAGGCGCCGTAATCTTATCATTTTTGGTGTTCCCGAGCCTGATCGTGAAAACGCTGCAGTGCTAAGAAAACAGATAATTGAGGAGCTGATAGCGGAAAAACTCGGTGTGGTTGTCAACTCAGTTGAAGGAGTGCATAGAATTGGGGGAAAAAACCGCGATAAAGTACGACCTGTAATCATGAACTTTTTTGACTATAACGAGAAGTTGAAGGTATTAAAAAATTGCCATAAACTAAAGGGAACACCAGTATCGATAAACCACGACTTCTGTCAAGGCACTTTAGCAAAGCGCAGCAAACTGTGGTCTCGTTCTGGGGAGTTTAAAGCTCGAGGTCATAAAGTGTCTCTTGATTACGATAAGCTGCGAGTGAACGAGGATGTGTATGAATGGGACGAGGAGAATGATTGTCTAAAATGTATTCGCTCTCAAGTACAACGAAGCAGAGATGACGGACTTGATAGCAAACAATTGCGCGTTGTTCTCATAAATGCCAGAAGCATTGTCAATAAAGTTCACGAGCTTGAAGAAATCATATTCACATATGATCCACAAATCATAGCGATTACAGAGACCTGGTTATCAGCAGATCAGATTCCGAAGTAGTTCCCCCAACGCACAAACTGGTTAGACGTGATCGAGGCTCCCGAGGAGGGGGAGTTGCTTTAGTTGTCAAAAAGGAAATTATTTCCGTTACTATGGACGAAATAGACGACAATGAAAGTGTGTGGTGTCAAATGGATTATCTTGGGTTCTCGGCAGTTGTAGGTGTGATCTATCGGCCCCCCGCCTCGCCGGAGTTGTTTTTGGAAAAAATTCAGTCCTACATGGAGCAAAAATACAAACCTAATCAAAAAGTCATATTAGCCGGGGACTTTAACCTACCGACAATTGATTGGCACATTTTACACCCCGGTACGACGGACGTAAAGAACTGCAACTTGTTACTTGAATTGATGCTAAACTTTAATCTCATTCAGCTTGTTAAAGAGGGTACAAGAGTCACTCAAAGCGCGGATAACGTACTAGACCTTATATTTGTTGGAAATTTCCCAGAGGACACTACTGTGAGTGTTTGCGATGGTATTTCTGACCATAAGCTTGTTTTACTTACCTCAAATTTTTGTCCTGTCAAAAAGAATCACACGAGTAAATGTGTCTCTAACTTTTCCGCTGCCGATGATGAAGCTGTTATAGATTCACTTGACCTTTGCTTCAGTGACTTTGAGGCGGGAGGTGACGTATCGACTTTGTGGAATACCTTTAAAAACATTACTGCATCATGTCTTGATAAATTCGTACCAAAATTTCAGAAAAAGAAACAGCACAACCCCTGGATAACAAGGGACATAATACATTTGAAAAGAGCTATATCTCGAAAACGCAAATCAGCTCGTAAAGATAATAGTGTCATATCTTCCCTTTCAATAACACTGAAGCAAAAAATACGGAGCGCTCGAGATTATTTTTTTGGAACAACACTTGTAAACTTCATGAAAAACGCGCCGCAAGAGTTTTGGGGATATCTATCTGGCAACAATAGGACTGTCGACCAACTTCACATTGATGGTTGCGGGGTTACTGACCCTTACCGAATTGTCAATGAGCTTAACAGCACATTTCATAGTGTTTTTGGTCGTCGGGGCACGACCGAAAATACAATCGAACGTTTTTCTCTTTCATCTAATGTAATGCAAGACATAAATTTAAACGTAAATGGGATTCGTCTTCTCCTTTTAAGACTTGATGTAAAAAAGTCTTCTGGCCCTGACGGTATTCCCAACGCCTTTCTGAAGCGTTATATGGACATGATTTCGCAGTATTTGTATGTTTTGTTCAATGCATCCTTGGATCAGGGATGCCTGCCTCCTGATTGGCTGTGTGGGAAGGTTGTGCCGGTGCACAAGGACGGGAGCAAACTGCTGGCTGCGAACTACAGGCCGATATCACTAATCAGCAGTTGCTGCAAACTCCTCGAACACATAATTTCCAGCCACATAACTTCGTTTTTAGAATCCAATAACATATTAGCCAGCTTTCAGCATGGGTTCAGAAAAAAGCTATCAACCACGACTCAACTCGTATCAGTTGTACATGACTTCGCCAATGCTATCAACAAAAGGAAACAAATTGATGCGATATTTTTGGACCTATCAAAAGCTTTTGATAGGGTACCGCACTATCTACTACTAAAAAAACTGCAGCGTGTAGGAATTTCTCCCCGCCTTGTGAACTGGATTTCTGCGTATCTGACGAACAGAACGCAGTTTGTAGAAATTAACGGTTGTCAATCGCAAAATCTTGATGTCCTGTCAGGTGTTCCCCAAGGGTCTGTCTTGGGACCCCTTTTGTTCTTGAGCTATGTCAATGACATAGCTGACGACCTTGACTCGGGTGTGACTGTGAAAATGTTTGCAGACGATTGTGTGATTTATACTACTGTCATTAACACCTCGGACCAATTATTGCTTAACGAAAACTTGTGTAAAATTGCTGACTGGTGTGAGAGGTGGCAGATGGTTATAAACTACTTGAAAACATGCGCTCTTACAATAACACACAAGAAATCTCCTCTCGAATATACGTATCATGTCCGCGATAAACTCATTGAATCAGTGAATGACGTAAAATACTTAGGTCTAACTATTAACACGAAACTTAGCTGGGACACCCACATAGACAATACTTGCGCCAAGGCCTACAAAAAACTGTTTTTTAAGAAGGAAATTGGGAGCGTGCAATTGGACTGTAAAACTTTCAGCCTATAAAGCCCTAGTTCGCCCAGTTATAGAATATGCGTCAATCGTGTGGGACCCATATTTAAAGAAAGATGTAGAAAAAGTGGAGAGGATTCAGCGACTAAGTGCACGATTTATTTTTTCTGATTTTAGGCGCCTCTCCTCGGTTTCTGAAATGTTGAATAGATGCAGTCTTGGGTAGTAACGCGTTACTAGTAACGCGTTACTGTAATTTTGTTACTTTTTTAGTAACTTGTAACTGTAACGAGTTACTTTTTGAAAATGTAACTTGTAACTGTAGTTCTATTACTTTTTCTAAAATAACGATGAAAGTAACGACGTTACTTTTGTCGTTACTTTCCAGTTTTTTATGAATAATATATCACTGAAGTGAACGAGGGCACAATTTAGACATTCTTTTTGCTTTCGAAATTGTCGGTTCCGACATTTCGAGTGTCAAGTTATTTTTTACAAAAACTTGTGAGTACACTCTTTCTCGCCAGTCACGACCCGAATATAGCCACCTGTAGATTTGTTTAAAAAACAATGTAGTTGTCTTTAGCACGCGCGCATACTTTGTGAGTGAACACTTACATCTTGGTATCTTGAAGAACTATCTCTTCTGCGGTTTTTCTTTTTTCTGCGCAAACGCTTTTTAATCGAGTGAATCAAACATGAACCTCCAATACACGCGGAGGGCAGTGCGAATGTTTCGTATTTTGATTAGCGCCACCACTCCGCACTGCGCATGTTTCGTATTTTGATTTGTGCCACTACTCCGGTGTAGTGTCAACAGTCGAGGCAAAACTTACTGCTGTTTGCGCGGAATTCGTTTCTGGCTTGCCGGGTACGAACTGAAATATGTCCAGGGACTCTATAAACCCAGCGCAACCGTCAACGAGCCAGCAATGTGCTAGTGCCACCAAGGATATGAATGATGAAAAGAACAAAGAAGAACTACCATGGCCGGCGTACAGAGAGTATTTTGCTGTGGTGGAGGTGGTTACTAACAACGTGACCGCAGAAAGAGGCACTCTGTTGCCTCAACGCCTACTCGGCAATCAAAAACCTGTTCCGGCGAAACAACACAGCAATCCCATCCAGCGCGTTAGACGAGCGCCTGTCCAGCAAGGGCAGGGACGTGTTCGTTATCAAACAAGGGAAACTTTCAGACACTAATTTCGAGAAGCAACTGCTGCTAAGTTACAATATGAAGTAAAAAGCACACTTTTTAATTTCATGCAAATAAACTTGGTGAAAAGCGTTTTCTAGTTTTTTTTCTAATTTTTCGTGTTATAAAAAAGTAACTGAAAAGTAACGTCATTACTTTTTAAAAGTAACTGTAACTGTAACGAGTTACTTTTTTGTTGCGGTAACTGTAACGGTAACTTCGCTACTTTTTTCAGAAAGTAACTGTAACTGTAACGAATTACTTTTTAAAAGTAACTTACCCAAGACTGAATAGATGTGGGCTAGAATCTCTCGAAGCCAGGGGGAAATTTGCAAGATTAAGTTTTTTTTATAAAATTTATCATAACGAAACTGGCTTAAGTAAAGACTTGTATATTCAGCCACCTCCTCAGCGCTCAGCAAGGCTAAGTCACTCAAAAAATGTTAGACACTATGCTCCTAGAAATAATCTATTTAAGTACTCATTTTTTGTACGAACCATTGAAGACTGGAACTCACTGCCGTCAGACTGCGTGAACGCTTCAACATCCAATAGTTTTGACTCCTTTCTTATAAACATGTTGTAACCCACTCCTGCTAGGATGGTGAAAAACCATCCGCAGTATTTCCTAAATAAAAAAAAAAAAAATAGATGACAGATATTTAAATTTTAGTTTTCTCGTTCGGTTCGTCCATTTTGTATTCAAACTCTTCATGTATAAATACTTGTACACCTTCCTTGCCCATCGTACGTCCTCCATTTTTGCTAGTCTTTGATCAAATTTCAATATGCTGATTGCCTCTCTACTCTCAAAAGACGACCAGCCCATGTCCCCTTGTACCCCTTCATTTGGCGTATTCCCATGCGCCCCCAGTGCCAACCTGCCTACACTTCTCCGTCTGACCTCCAATCCTGTCTGAACCTCTGATCGCATGCACAACACTGCATTACCAAACGACAAACCTGGCACCATGACTCCTTTCCAAATGCCTCGAACTACTTCATATCTATTATAATTCCATAGTGCTCTATGCTTCATAATAGCCGAATTTCTTTTCCCATTTTTTATTATATCTTCATCATGTTCCTCTAAATATTTCTTTTCCTGTTTCATCCAGACCCCCAGATATTTGTACTTATCTACATAGTCTATTTCAAAGTTCTGAATTATCAGCGGCTCCCTCTTTTCGTCCTTAAAAACCATCACTCCAGATTTTCCTCTACTGAAATTCAGACCAAGCTTGTCGCCCTCTCCTCCACATATCCCAATTAGTTTGTCCAATATTTCCCGGCTATCTGCTATAAGTACGATGTCGTCTGCATACATCAGTCCAGGTATGACTTGGTTTACTTCACTCCCTCCCTCCATATACGTCAGATCGAATCCCAAGTTGCTCTGCTCTAACCTGTTTTCCAATTCGCTTAGGTATACCATGAAGAGCAGTGGTGACAGGGGACAACCCTGTCTAAGCCCTCTTTTTATTGCTGCTGGTCTTGTAGTTTCTGCCTCCCACTTTATAACCACTTCATTATTTGTA